TTTCCCTAGGCAGTAAGATGCGCCAGATAAGTATTGCTTCTGTGGTGTGAGGAGACTAAGTCAGCTTCCGTGAACGATGATCGTTGAGAGGAGGAGAAAAAAAACAACCCACAGCCAGCATTTCTTTCAAAAAGCTGTGGTCTGCTGAAGTTGTAAGGCTAAAAGCCTGATGATTTTAATGGAGTGGAATGGAGATAAGGAGTTCTCCTGAAGGGTCTTTGGTTCTGGAACGGACCTTCCCTTTCTGTTAGTCCTCCCTACAGCACAGACTGTCTTATCTCCAAAATGTATTCAAACGCTTCTCTTTCCAGCTTTTTGGCAGTGGTCATTAACCAGATTTTAAGATTTTTCTCTGGTGGCGATGTGGATCACATTACTAAGTTGAACATCCTTATTAATAATGGTTTACAATACTTACATGTCCAGATGGACACATTATAAGTACAAACAAATAATTGCAAATTGCGAATATAAGCTGCATGCAGATTGTCCTCTTTGTTTTGCGTTTATACCTACATATTCTACTCCATCAAAATACTGGGCTCAAAGATTGTAGAGTAGTTTACTTAGGATCAGCATAGTGCACTGCAGCTTTCCTTTTCTGAACCTTTTAGCTTGATTTTCATATTGCTTGCACTATTTTTAGAGAAATGGTGAAGTGTCTTGTTTTCCCCCTGCCTTAGATACCCCTGCTCTTCTCTCTTTTCCTGTAGCATGACAAACCATAAAGCTGTGAGGGACCTCTGATGGTGAAGAAACTCAAACACTGGATCCTGAAATGTATTTTTCCAGAGAGCACTTTTCTTACTGCTCTGCTTGTTATGATGGTAATAGAAACCATTTGAGAGTTTGAATCTGGGCTGTTACCAGGCTTCTGTGCTTTGGCCTGACTGGGTTATCCTTTTCAGTTCTCATTCTGCGTAGATTGGGAATCTCTTATCCATCCTGTTCACAAATGATGAAAGACTAGATAAGCAGCTTCTAAGCAGCGCTTGCTTCATCTCTGGCTGGGTCTTTACTCTGTGAGGAACACAAACAAGGACTAGGGTTGAGATAGTACTGGTAGTGTGGAGGACTGTCAAAGAGGAATTAATTGATACAATAAGGTTGGACAGGACTTCTGTAGGACTGGACTCTGTTTCCCAAAGAGTCCTTAGCTGTATGAGCGAACATTGAGGTCAGCAAGCTAGTCTGTCCAAGGAAATCAGTTTGCAGCAAGTTAAGTTGGAAATTACGGTGCAATGGAAACCCTGCTCTAACTACTTATTCAGTCTTTTTTAAATCAGAGGTAGTGTCATTTGCTTTCAATGCAAAATAATTTATCTTGTGGGAAGAAACCCTCAGCACGTGCTAAGAGTGTTTGCACACAGAGCTAGTGTGGAAGCCTGACTTCCCACTGTGCAAAGAAGACTTGCATCTTCAGCCTCCTCCACAAACCCTTCCCCTAGAAGAGAAGGTCTCTAAGGAACCCCATGTGGGTCACTTTGCAAAGTTTCTTGTAAACTCTCTCCATCTTTTATAGGGGTTATTGAGACTATTACATAGCATTGATATAATCTTAAACAAGCTGGGTAATATGCCTAATTCTCTACTGGCTTGAATCCTGCATAGTCATTGACATCTCCACAAAGAGCGTGCCACTTAAGAATTCTCCACTTTCCTAGAACAGTGATAGGGTTTTGCAATCACTTGTACTCTTTGCACAAGAATAAACGAGTCAACAGTGTGCAAAGCAGGAGAAAGTCACCCTTCATTTCTTTTGCTGCTGTGTAAAAGAGAGAGTCAGTGGGCCAAAATCTAGACTGAGCTTCCCCACTAGAAAATTGGGATAACTATGCTTATATAATTGTAATTTCTATGCAAGTTAGGACTTTACTTTTCTTACAAATTACCACCCAAATCAGGATATGAACAGTTCACCTAAGCAGAATCACTCGTAATGATGATTTAAATGATTGAAATTTGGACTCCTTCATACAGCAGTTAAAAGTATACTCAATCCAGTCTTCAATAGAGTGACTTTCATGTCTGTTCATTTTATTTCACTGTTGATAATTTCTTTTTCTGTGTTTAAAGTAACTCTTGTTTATTTGGATACAGCAAACTAGGATCAGGCCCTCCATATCCAAGAAGTAAATCATTCCATCTTGGAAAAGTCAGTTATGGGCTACTTCTGTGATTTCCTGCCACTAGAAACTGTATCCACTGATGTAAGCTGTTGTAGTGCTATTAAAGATGTGACAATACAGCTTAACAGGAGTGGGCTTGTAGGTCACCAGGAGCAGCAAATCTCGCTGTATTCATCTTCTGAGGTAATTTGGAGGTACGATATTTGGATTTCCTTTCATGAGGTTACGGAACAGATTAGGGAAGCACTGCCTCTTACCGTTTCAACTGCTGCTTGAGGTGGGAAGGCAGGGAAGCTTTAGCTGAACTTTCATCTCCTGGGCTGCTATTAGCTTTTTAAAACCAGGATATTGGCAACCTCTCCAAAAGGTCTAAACACTGATTTAGCATGTAGGTGACTCCTGCTGAGGATGCTCGCAAACAGGAGAGTATAAATATGCAGAGAAAGAGGAATTTGTTCATACAGAGAGTGAAGCAGTGCTTCTGCGGTGCGGAAGAATGGTGCAGAGCGAAGTTTTACAGCTCCACGCATCCTGTGCATACACACACAGCTTTTACATAAAGAGACAAAGATATCTTTATCTGCACGACAGATAGACAAACAGACTGACTGACTTCAAACTTGCACTTTCAGTAGGGATTTTTCCCCCCCCATCTCCGGGTACTGCTTTTCAAAATTGCCTGAGGCTACAGTACAGCACCTCAGATCCCCAAGGCCCATTGCCTGGCTCCTAATAGCCACTCTCCATCTGTGTCACATGAACAGCTGATGAGATAGCTCCAGTGTCTGTATTTTGGAGAGCATATCCACCCAGGTTAAAATGCTGGGGTTGCCAAGGAGCAGTCAGAAGCCATTAGTGTTTGTGAGAATTTGCCTTGCAGCAGTTCCTTGGCATAGTGGAAAGTGTGTGTGTGTGCGCGCGCGCGCGTGCGTGTGTGTGTGTGTATGAGAGAGAGGGGTAGGGCGGAATATAGCGGGGGGAGAGCGCAAGGGAGAGGAGCTCTTTCTAAATAACCAACATCTTGCAAAAGTGAGCAGTTGGTTACAGCGTTTAGGGCTTCCGTAATCTCTTAGATTAGTTTGCCGTGATTCGACTCTCCTCGCTCTATCGTTAACAGAAACGAACAACAACAACAAAAAAAGAAAAGGAGCATGAGAAAGAGAGCAGCGACTTCAGGGTCTTGCTCTGGTGTTTGGGCAGATGGAAAGGAGCTGCTCTGCCTTGGGGCAGGGTGGTTGTAATGAAGTGGCCTGTCAGTCTGTAAATAGTGAGGGTCATCTCTTCCATGTGATGGAGGGTATCACATTGCAGTGAAAATGGAAATGTCAATAAAATTAATCTGCCAGCTCTTTGCTGTGGCTTTTTCTGTCTCTCCGGTCCAAAAGGGTTGGTTTTTCAGAGGGGAGGCAGTGGAAGAAGGGTGATCTAGCACAGGAGGCAAGATGGAGCTGAAACGCAAGTTTTGAAGCAAATGGACTGTATGTAGCAGCAACGTATTTCGTTTAGTAGCACTACAGAGCTAGACAAGGCTATAGGAATTAGCTCGTGAATCTATAGCATTCCTCAGGAAGCTATGGAGCGTCTAGCTCAGGCTACATTGAGCACAGAGTTTATTGTTTTAGGCTTTCTTGGACAAGGTTTTTACTTAGCATGGGATTTATGGCATTTACTGCTAATGAATGTCTATTCTTAAATTACAAAAACCACCGTCTCAGCACAATTCCCAGATGTCCTTCCAGGACCTCGGCTTCTTAAACACCAGCAGGGAGCATAAACTCTCCACTTCTCTGTTTTCCTCTTTCGTGTGGCTCCGGGCTAATGATGTGTAAGGAAAACACAGCAATCTATAAAGTCTCAGTGCTGTCCCAGTATTCTTCATTTATTTTGCATTTGATTATGCCACAAGTCGGATCTTGTTTCTTTCCTTTTTTTAAAGTTATTAGTTCAAATATTAATGTAGGAATATGGCATATATTGCTGCTCTTGATTGATGCCTTCCCAAAAACAGGAAGACGTGCTCGTATGAATTTTAAGAAAGTAGGGGTCCTGCAATGCCTTGCCAGAAGAGTTTTTCAGATACATAATTTAGATGCCCTCCAGGCAGGCTTTCAAGGCATTTTTGCTGGAGGGCAAGAAAAAATAACTATGACTGTTAAAAGTAAATGATTTTTGCTAATGCACAATTAATGCCAGGGAAAAGCACAGAAGAGAAAGATGTTGATGGAAAGTTCTGATTAAGTGAGAGCTCTACCTTGATGTGCATCTTTTTTTTTTAATGATAATAATCACTGATGCAGAGATGTAGAAGTTTTCATGTCATGCAAATGCTATATGCAGGGTCAAACTAGGTGTACGTGTTTGTGCGTGCGTATGTATGTGTGTTGGGAGGTGATGGTTATGGGGAGGGGCTCATCTGACAGTGTGTTATGTGCACTGAACGGTGACACGGTTACTGCCACCTCTGCAGAGGGCCTTGAATATATAGACTACAGAACATTTAACTTGATTACTTATAGTGCGTATTCAGAATGGTTGTAGGGATGCATTTCCAGTGAATGGGTTTTCTTGTGGCACATTTTCCCACATTGAATCCCATAATTGACGAAGAGCTATTGCACTATGTCAAGCACACAATTATAATTGAATTAATGATATATGCATGTGTGAAACACAAAATTAGTATTTGGAGAGACATGGTTTCTAATTTTTACATATTCGTATCTGCATTCATATATAATGAGAAACTGTATGTGCCTGATCTAGCAAAGCAAAATAAAATTGTGGTAGTGCCTTGGTAATTAATGGTACTTTTTGGCTTTTGTATTTTGTTCACTAAAGGTCTCCTCCTTCCTGTTTTTCTCTTTGTTGTAGGAGATGGTTTAGACAACAGTGTAGCCTCACCTGGTACAGGGGATGACGATGACCCAGACAAGGACAAAAAGCGTCAGAAGAAAAGAGGCATTTTCCCCAAAGTAGCAACAAATATCATGAGAGCGTGGCTTTTCCAGCATCTCACAGTAAGTGGTGCCCAAAACCAAAATAGATTTCTATTCATGTGCCTAATGAGGTTTATTCATTGTTATTAGAAATCAGTTGTCCCCATAATTTTTGGACAATTATTAGGGCTCAGTTATTGTTGCTTTTTTTTTTCCCTAGATTTTTTTTCTTGGCTCTTGGAATCATGACAAATCTGAAAGAAACCTATATATATATATATATATATATGTGTATATATATACACACATACATGCCCATAGAGAGAGAAAGAGAGAGAGAAAGAGTACAAAGCCGTAGCATGGAACACCACCTACATATAAAGTAACCATTTTTTGCTTTGAACTATTCAAAATGTTCCTAAGGACAAAAAAGGGGGTTTTTTGCTTTAGCATATATAAAGCTCTGCCTTCTGGATTCTTTATCGCTGGCCTCTGTTTACACAAACTTCATATGTATGTGGTGGAAGAGAGCCCCAGTCTGTGTGCGCTGACATACACTGTGGATGTTAGAGAAGTCAAAGCAGCAGCTTGCAAACTTGTCGTTGTTACTTTTTGTGTGAAATATAGAAGGCTTACAGGTTCCCTAATTCTTCAGTTATGTAACAGAGAGAAAAAGCACCTTTTTAGCTTCTCTTCAAGTCCATTATGTTAAAAGCTAGCCATATTCACATTTGGGGAAGAGAGATTAAATACATGAAAAAGCAGTGCTTTCTATGGGCTATCTTTATCCTCCTGCTTGCGATTGGTTTTATGTGTTGGTGTTCTGTTGACTGTTATAGCTTCACTTAGGCATCAAAACATGGTTCCACAGAAAACCTAGTAACACTCTTTGTAGTTTACTTCATGTGGGAAATAATGGAAACTGGTAAAATTATCAATTGATTTTCTTCTTCCTCTCACTGTAAAATTGTTTCTCACTTGATAAGGCTTAAAACGCTAACTGTTATTAACTACCTCTTCTTCTACCAAAGTTTTATAAATTTCCATGGTAGCTGATGTTGGTTACAGTGTAACGATTTCAGGACAAGGTACCCGATTTATTTATGATAGGGACTATCGAACTGCTCTGCTGGCAGCACAGCTAAAGGGGGGAGCGATAGATCCACATTTCTAAACCATCATTTTGATGTAAGGACATTAGTAGCAAACTAAGGTGCATTGATCTGGCCTGTGGGGTCAGGATTAGCTGGAATAGCCAGTGTCTCTGCTGGAGTAGTGGTTATTCCTGCCTCCCAGCTATGGCCATTTCAAAGGTCAGGTGCCCTGTACCCACTTGGCTCAGAGGAATTAGACAGAACATGAGTCTCTGGGCTGATTACTTAACCAAAGACAAAATAATGAGTCCTAAGCAAATACTGACTAATTGAAAGGGCTGTAAATCCATTACATATTGGTCAGGGATAATCAGGAGTATTTAATCACTTTTATCTATTCAGGAGCACTGAAGCTGCAACAGCAAAGCCCTGAACCTTGCCATGTGCTTATTATTCTCATCATTATCAAAATTACTTCACAGCTGTTCTTTGCTACATCACCTCAGCTGGAGATTTACTAACCTGTAAAATGTTTTTAATTTGGAAGTCGAGTGAGTGTGAGTGGAGGGTTTTACATTTAGCTGTAGGGTATCTTTAGAGGAGCAGTACAGGCAGACAGCAAAAAGCAGGACCACAAATAAACCAGTTTGTTTTGTACGTGTCTCTGTGTTAACTCCATTTCCTCTTATGAAATTGGTGGTATCTTGGTTTTTTTCTCCCTGCCTTCCTTTCTCACGTGCTCCTTGAAAGCATTCGACACATGCTTATTAAACAGTCAACTGCCTCTCGCTTCTCTTGAGGAAAGTCCTCCTGGCTTTTTGAAATCCCTTTTCCTTGTTTCCATCCTCTCTCTCCTGACCCTCTCCATCCTGCACGAATTGAGGAAATTTGCCATCACTGGTGAGGATGGCCTCGCAAAAATCAAATTAAATGAACACAAAAAAGCCCCAAACCTTTTACCGTCCAAGCTTTAATGAGTTTGCAGGTGTTGAAAGATTTACTGTGCTGTAATTCTCAGACCTGCAAACTGATAATGGAGACCCCTGACCAGTGCAATGTAAATTCAGAAAGATTCTTGCCATAAACACATGCAGGGAAGGAAGAGAACTCCTTTCTTTTAAAGATCTCGCACTTTTTCTCAAATTAGCTTGTCCATTCAAAGTGCAACGCTGGCTGAGCCAGAACGGGGGAATCTGTGATGTACAATTTTATTGTTTCAAGTAAATATCTTTACAATGGCGGTCCATGATTCAATGTACATTCCTTCATTACTACTCTAACCTTATTTCAAATTGGTTTGTTCCTCCTTTGTGCTGTATGACCTGTTCTTGTATTACAATAATCCCCTGATGTACCCTTTTTTCTCTCTCTCTTTTTTTTTTTTAAAAGAAACTAATTGAATTATCTCATTATTTTAATTTGTTAAGCAAATGTATTTTACATCTCAGGATGTGTTCTTAAAGAAGGAGCTGCTTAGGCTTTGCCTGCTGAATGGGCCATTGGTACATTTTGACATTCATGCATTCATTAAGGAGAGGAACATAAAAGAGCTCTGGTTGTATTTTTTTTTCAAACACCCAACCAGCATGGAGCAACTTTTCCATAAGCCACAGGGGTCTCTCTACATATGTTCTCAACTGCAAGCCATTGTCACCTATTCTGAATACCTCAAAAGGACAAATAAAATACTAAAGGCCAACTGTAGCAATTGTTAGCTGTTAGTCTCAATATGACAAAAATCATTAACCTCTGGTTTCCCTGGAAGGACAGGCAGTGGCAGTCCATCTCTTATGTCGTGGATTAAACTTGAAATTCCTTTAGACTGCCAAATTCAAAGAGAGTAACTCAGTTCTGACTAATTGTATTTACTTATGATTTTAAATAAAATGCTATTTTTTTCCTTTATTCAGTCAGTTTGCAAACTCCTAAGGTAGCCGATTTTAAAAACTGAATTGCCTAAGTGGCTTTTTTGAAGAGACAGGCACTTGAACTCTGATGTAGAATGAATGTATCTGACGGGCTGTGTCTTTCAAAACAATTTCTAACCCCTATCACAGCTTCCATTTTGCAGTAACTTTAATTATATTTGAAATAGGATACACATGCATGTTTTTATTGTTGGAAATGAAACGCACGAGTAGGAGCTTCTGTCATGTTCTTGTTCACTTACTGAGCTCTGTCTTACATTTGGAATTACAACAGTACCGGAAGATGAAAGATCTGAGGATGAATTGGTTGGAAATGTGTATGCTTTTTCTGGATAATATCCAGTGTTTAAGAAAGTAGAGGAAATCCTAGTCTGGTAGTATAAGCTTTTCAATAGTACATAAAGATTACGACATCAGAAAGGTAAACCTGACATTAAGACTGTTTTTATTTGAGTTCAAAGGTGGTTAAAGAAAAGAAACAGCAAGAAATCTGACCCAAGCCGAGAGTTTATTCATAGCTTTGGAAAACTCCTTTTCCTCTATGCCAAGGAGTCCTTAGTACACTCAATTAGCCTCTCAGACATCTCTGCTTTCCTCCCTCAAGTGCTCCCCTATTTGCCCTGCAAAGAACATATTTGATCACAAAGTGAAAACAGGAAGTGCTCAAATGTATAGACACCTCTAGCTTACACCAATGTTGAGATTAGGATTTCTTACCAGCAACTATACGGAGCCGGCCCCCCTCCTCCCATGCCCTTTCGAAAGATGGAGGACCTTTAAAATGTATGTACATAATCAGAAGAGAGCAAAGTTATAAAGGAAGTAATTATGCCATTCGATGGGCTTGTACCTCTGGTAGTTCATCCCTTTCTGCAGCGCAGTGTATCAAGGACTACACTTTTGCTACATTCAACGTTTTTTCCCCTTTTACAGAACTGGCAGAACAGGGACACGTTTATTCTTTGACACTTACCGGGAGTGATGCCCTTTGTTAAAATTCTATTTTGGTTGTTTCTTTTGTTACAGTCTGTAAGAAGATGTATATCTTAACTAAAAGTACCAGCTATACCAATGGGAGCCTGCAAACTAAACCTTTTTCATGACTGTGCCAGATTCCCAGCTGATGGTATTTGGGATGGCTCCCCTGAAGTCAGTGGAGTCGAGCTGGGTTTTTTTGCTTTGTTTGCTAGCTGAAGTTCTGTCTCCTAACATTTGTTTGAACAGTGTCATTTTAGCCTGATTTCCACAATCTTCTGGCTGAAAATCTTGCTCTTTACACAGTCTCTTGTAGAGTAGATTTTGGTTTCATCGACTTCAGCGTCAAGCTAGAGTAAGTTCTGCTGGAATGTGTTGAAATGAACCAGCCACAGCTTTTGTACTTACCCGAGTTAGTTTTCCTAACTTGCCATATTCAGATGGTCAGACTGGATAATATCAATAGTTGAAACAGACTTTTTTTTCTGTATTTATGTAGGTATACCTGAGAATATTATGTCTCTCTATTGTATTTTGATGAATGGCTTACCTACCAGGTCTTTTAAGAAAGGGCAGCTATTTTATTTATTCATTCTAGAGATTCTAGAGATGAATGTCATCCACCAAAGCCAATCTTGGAGCAAGCTTTCAAAACAGTTGAAACCATCCCACCTTCATAAATATCTCCTCCCACATGGTGACTTTAGGAACAATACCTAAGGGAGGTTTAGGAACATAGCTGGCTATTGCACTCCACACTGAACAGCTTACTTTTGTATCAAGCAGTAGAAGAACAGCTTTCCTCAGAGTCCTGATCCAGGAGAAGGATTCTTCACATTGCTGTTTTTGCTGTACTTCAAAAAAACAAAACTGAAAATACAACAGACCTTTGTCCAGTTAAAATGGTGACAAGAAGGCTGGGCGACTGAACAAAACACAGGAATGTGAAGACATTCTGGTGAGTTTTAGTGCTTGTGTTGGATCGCATTGTAACGTGCTATACGCTCCCAGGGTACACTGAGGAGACGGACGATGTCCTCCGATTCTCCTGTAAAACAACCTGCCTGTAGGTTCGCGTGGCTGC